ACAATTTTAATTTTATGTAATCAAAATGATCCATTTAGCCTCTTGTGAATACATATATATATATACACACACATATATACATATATATATATATATATATATATATATATACATATACATATATCTTGTTTGGTCATAAATTCTTCCCTATGCCTTGGTCTGACAGGTAATTTTATCCATGCCCCACTAATTTGATTATGATATCATTCTTCATGTCTAAACTATGTACCCATTTTGAGTTTATCTTGGAATATGTTGTGAGATGTTGGTCTATGCCTAGTTTCTGCTAGATTACGTTCCAGTTTCCTCTGCAATTTTTGGTCTAACAATTAACACCAAGAAAACGCAGGTGCTCCATCAGCTGCCACCACACCATCCATATATGGAACCATTGTTTACAGCAAATGGAGAAGTTTTGAATGCTGTGGATAAGTTCACTTACCTTGGCAGTATACTTTCCAGGGATGTACACATTGATAATGAAGTCGACACATGCATTGCCAGAGCTAGCTCAGTGTTTGGAAGGCTCCAAAGGAAAGTATGGGAGAGAGGAGGTAGTAGACTGACTACTAAACTGAAAGTCTATAGAGCCGCTGTTCTGACCTCATTTTTGTATGCCTGTGAAACCTGGACAGCCTAGCAGTTCCAGGCCAGGAAACTGAGCCGCTTCCATTTGGATTGTCTTAGGAAGATTCCGATGCTTACCTGGCAGGATAAGATACCAGACACTGAGGTCCTTTCTTGAACTAAACTACATTGGTGCTTCCAAAGTGGTGTGATCTGGGCAGAGGTCTGTTCACTGCCTTCCTGGTCCAAGTTCTCAAGTTCTTGACCCAGGTTTGCGGCTGTTGGCTTGGGTGTAGTTCAATTTTGGTAAGATGCTGCTGGACTCAGTCCCTGGTAACCCATTGCTAGATCACTCTGGTTGCCCTGAGTTTTCCACTGTAAGCTTATGTGCTGGGCTAAAAGTTAGAAAGGAATTCCTGCTCTATTCTTACTAGGCTCAGCTAAGTTTCCAGAATTTGTTTTGCATACAGCGAGGGCCCCAAGTTTGGTAGCAGCCACCCCTTCTGCCCCGGATCTGTGACTCAGAACTGGGTCATGAGTGATAGAGCTGCCAGATGGCACCCACTGCTGCTCACAGTACTAATTCAAATGTTCCCTGGGATCTCTTTCTGCCCAGGTGCTTCCCGTTTGGGTGTTAGAATGGTCCCAGCCCAGCCTCACTGCTGCTTTCATTGCTACCTTGCTATGTTACTGGCCAGCTCCCATCCCAGTGTTCACAGACCTCTTTCTGTCTTCCTAAGCTTCCCTGGGATGGAAAAATGATTCACTGTGACTTTTTCTTGGCTTTCCCAATCAGAATTCTGTCTGGCTCATTTTTTAGGTTGTTATGGAGATGTGCTGGGAGACTTAGGCAAAAATATTTCTTCTCCTTCCACCATCTTGACTCTGTTTCTACATCATTCTTTGTAGTGTAAGAAGCTGTTTCTACCTTAGAAACATGTGTCCTCTAAGGTAAGAGAATCACATATGCTTTTACTTAGTCACAAATGTTCACTGGTTTTTCTTCTTTCTGCTCTCTTTTCCCTCATCCTTTTCCACCTTCCAACCTTCTAACAGGTTAAGATGCCCTTGGGCCACTTCAAAGTCTTATACTTTGTTTCCTCCTTACACACACACATGCACATACACATTCATTTTCAAGATGAGCAGTCAGAGTTACCCTGGGCTGCTCAACATCTATGAAAGGAACAAAGCTAATCCCTTAGCAGGAAAGAAAGGAAATGGGTGTTACCATGAGTGGCAATGACCCTACACACTGACCCATCCCTTCTCTAACTGGGGTTATCCCTATGGCCAAAGGTATATGGGCACTAGACTCTTGATTAGGGTTGGGGTCCCCCTCAGTTGTTGGCTCACAGAACAAAGCTAGCTCATATGGAGATGGAGCCTCAGTATTGTTAGCAGCAATTAATCAGACTGCATGTAAGCTTGTCTGAGCCTCAGTTTCTTCTTCTGTTAAATGGATATAATAATACCTGGTGCAAAAGGCAGCCTGGACTAGTGGACATAGGGCTTGGAATCCCAAAGACCTGGGTTCATGTCCCTCCTTTGACTCATACTGACTGAGTAACCTTGAAACAAGTCACTAAACCTCTGTTTGCCTCAGTTTCCTCATCTGTAAAATGGGGGTAATGATAGCACCTCCCTCCCAGGGTTGCTGTGAGGACCAGAGGAGAGCTGAGTGTAAAGCATTTTACAAACCTGAAAGCATTGTGTAAATGTTAACTATTGTTATTAATCTCAGCCCGAGTCCTTTGGCCTCAGAATAGAAATGCAATGCATGGCACCAACATAGAGACTCAAAATAGAAAACCCAGGAGGAAAGCTAGGAGAGGAGGTGGCCAGTTGGCACCATGTGCAAGTCACAACAGATGGCCCAGTTTGGCTGAATCAATTCTTGTTGCTTTTCTAAGGTCTAAATTTGTAAGTATACTTCAGTGGAAGAAATATATTTTGATGGAAATAAGAAAATTACTTTGTCAAGAACTTAGACGTATGAAGAGAGTTGGTGACCACATCAGCAGCAGCAGCAGCAGCAGATATTTCTCAAGCACCTACTATGTGCCAGGCACTGGGGATACTTTTATTGTTCAGTCATTTTTCAGTTGTCTGACTCTCTGTGACCCCATTTGGGGTTTTCTTGGCAAAGATTCTGGAGTGGTTTGCCATTTCCTTCTCAAGTTTATTTTGCAGATGAGGAAACTGAGGCAAACAGAGTTCAGTGACTTGCCCAGGGTCACACAGCTAGTAAGTACCTGAAGCCAGATTTGAATTCATGATGAGTCTTCCCGACTTCAGGTCCAGTGCTTTATGCACTATGGCGCCATCTAGCGGTCCATACTGGGGATACAAAGAAAGGCAAAAACATGGCACCTGCCCTCAAGGAATTTACATTAGAATGTGGAAGACAACATGTGATAACATAGAGATGAGGAAGGGAGTGAAATGGGTATAGAGAAGAGTATTGGGGAGGGGCAGTTATGTGCTTTGGGGGAGCCCTATGGGAGGAGCTGGGGATACAAAGATGAAGAAGAAATGCTCTCTGACCCTGGGAGTTTACCAAAGTGCCCAGAGATAAGGGAATAGAGAAGATATACCAGACAATTTTGAGAGGACAAGGGCTTTAATACCAGGAGCCGGGGCTTTAAGGAAGCTGGGCATTCTAAGTGGGAGGGAGAGGGGAAAATGGAGCCCCTTTCATCACCTGTTCTGCATGGAGGAGAAAGATGGCGTCCCAGAGAATACCTGGTTTGGGAGATAGGCGAGGGTGGGAGAAGACCACTGAGGCAGATGGGAGATGCCCACACTGCGGTGGGCTTTAAATACCAGGCTGAAGATTGTGGTTTTTATCTTAGAGGGAATCAGGCCATTGAAGACTTTTGAGTGAGGAGAGAGGGGGTCATGGCCAAACCTATCCTTTAAGAAGATTAATTTTGGCATTATTGAGGCTGCTGGGTGTCTCAATGGATAGTGCCTTGGCCCTGGAGGAAGGAAGAGCTGAGTTCAGATCTAGGCCCGGGAAAGTGACTTATGCTGTTCCAACCTCGGTTTCCTCATCTGTAAAATGAAGAGAATGATAGCACTTCCCCCTCAGGGCTGTTGGGAGGATAAAATGAGATACTTAAAGAGCTTTATAAATGTTAGCTGTTATTACTGAGCAGAGACTGAATGGGAGAGAGAAGATACTGACAGCAGAGAACCTGTTAGAAGGCTATCGATAGAGTTCTGGCCAGACCAGGATGGAGGAAAGATGTCTAGTTGTGACAAGTGTAGAGTAGGTCTTGACTGGTGACACCCAGCAGCTGGTTTGTCATGAGGGGGGAGGGAGGGTGAACAGGCCACGGATGACTCTGACGTTACAAACCCGGGTGGCTGGAAGGATTGTGGTGCTTTTAACCAGATCAGAAAGTCTGAAGGAGAGATGAGCTTTTAGGGGGAGGGAGGAAATAGTGAGCTCTGTTTTGGACACAGTGAGTGTGAGATCTATGGGCCATTCAGGTGGATCTGTCCTGCAGCAGAAGCAATGTGGGATTCGAATTTTCAGGAGAGATTTTAGGCTGATTTATCGAGATTGTGGAACCGAGTGCTTAGAGATGATAATTGAATCCACTGGAGGTAGTGGGATATAAAAATAGTAATAGCTAGTGTTTACATAATGTTTTATATAGCACACAAGTAGAGTATCAGGATCCTGTCTCAGGCAATAAGTAGCTGCCTAACCTTGGACAAATTAATTGACCTTTCTGAGCCTCAGTTTCCTTATTGGTAAAAAAGAGGGGGTAGGTTTGATGTCTTGCAAGCCCTAGATTTATGATTTTATGATCCTTCCAGCTGATGAGATCACCAAGGGAATGAAGGAAGAAACAGAAGGACCAGGACAAAGTCTTGGGCCCCCCCACCCCTTGGTGAGTGGGGGTGGATGGAGGAGGCTGGGAAGGAGCAGTCATCACACAGGGACAAGAGCATAGTGCTAACTAGCATACATGCTCAGAAAGCCAAGTGCTACGGGAGGTCCAATGGACAAGGTCATTGCCAGACTCTACTTGGAGATTCCCATTCTCACTGTGCCTTCAACTCAGTAGAATGTAAATTAATGGATTTAGAGGCAGACAATGGAGAGGCCACGTGCTAACTTGGCATACCAAATCTGGGCACAAATTTGAGCTCTGCCATTTCAAGAGAGCTTCGATCCATAAATAACTGCATGACTTTGGACAGATCTGGGTGTGACTTTCCTCATCTGTAAAATGGGCCAGATGCCACCTGTAAGCTTCCTTCCAACTCTAAATCTTACCATCCTGTAATGAGGAATTTTTCTTGCCTTGGGTAAAGTGTTAGGGGAAAGGGAACGAATGGGGAGTGATGGGGCAAAATTCACTAGCTGACATTGTTTTTGCTATTTTCCCCCTAATTCTTCCATGTTTTTCTTTCAGTTAAGAAATTATTGAGCAAAGATGACTGAAAGAGTTTTAGAGAAGCTATCGGCCTTGGACAAACGTTCAGAGAAGGTGATGGATATATGGACACAGGTTAGTACAAGGGCAAGGGAAAGACAAATTTAACACGAATCAAATGGAACACTTTGATCTGAGGAACTTCCTCCCACCCTTCTTTATTTATTAATGGGGCTTTTGCATGACTGGGACTGAAATCATTTTAATTTGTAAGAACAGATTCCTTTGATTCATAGGTGGTACTGTGGTAAAAGTACTTCCTCTAAAGTCAGAAGACTTGGGTTCAAATCTTGCCTCTGACACTTAATACTTTGGCCAAGTCATTTTTGTCTCCCTAGAACTCAGTTTCCTCATCTATAAAGCAAGGAGGTCAAATGAGATGGCCTCTGAGATTACTTATATCTCTAGATTTGTAATTGGGTAACAAGTAGCCACCAATATAATTGCACATATTTTAGACCACAATGAAACTATAACAATATTACTGTATTTTATGCAAGTATGGACTAGCCTGGGGAACTCCCAGTGTGAGGAATCCTTCTACCAGTGCAGATCTCGACCCATCTGTGACTTAATAAATCCAAGGCAATTGCTGAGGCTCTGAAGGGTAGAAGTGACTCCAAGGTCAGTGCTCTATTCACTGTACTTCTTTTTTTTTGGGGGGGGATGTAAATACTTTAATCTTACTGAATAACATTTTTTTTCTGTCCTGTTTACCTTTTTATGCTTCTCTTGAGTCTTGTATTTGAAGACTGAAGTTTCTGTTCAGCTCTGCTCTTTTCATTAGGAAAGTTTGAAGGTCCCCTATTTCATTGAACATCCATCTCTTCCCCTGAAAGATTCTGTTCAGTTTTTCTTGGTAGTTGATTCTTGGTTGTAATCCAAGCTCCTTCGCCTTCTGGCGTATCATATTCCAAACCTTCTAATCTTTCAATCTAGAAGCTGATAAGTCCTGGGTAACACTGACTGTGGCTCCTTGATATCTGCACTGTTGCTTTCTGACTCCTTGCAGTATTTTCTCCTTGACCTGCTAATTCTGGAATTTGCTACAATATTCCCTGCTGTTTTCATTTTGGGATATCTTTCAGGAAGTGATTGGTATATTCTCTCAATGACTTTTTTACTCTCTGGTTCTTGGATATAAGAGCATTTTTCCTGACAGTTTCTTGAAAGATGCTGTTGGGGCAGCTAGGTGGCGCAGTGGATAGAGCACTGGCCCTGAAGTCAGGAAGACCTGAGTTCAAATCCAGCCTCAGACCAAACATTTGACACTTACTAGCTGTGTGGCCCTGGGCAAGTCACTTAACCCCAATTGCCTAAAAGAAAAAAAAAAAAAGAAAGATGCTGTCCAGGCTCCTTTTTTGGTCATGGTCAGATAGTCCAATAATTCTTGAATTATTTCTCATGGATCTATTTTGCAGGTTAGGTTTTTTTTCCTCGAAGAGGTGTTTTACATTTTTTTCTGTTTGATTTTCTTTGACTGTTTCTTGATGTCTCTAGAGTTATTAACTTCCAATTGCCCAATCTACTTTTTAAGGAATTATTTTCTTCAGTTAGCTTTTGCACCTCTTTTTCCATTTGGCCAATTCTACTTTTTAAGAAGATACAGAGTGGATTAAAAAACAGAATCCTGCAATATGTTGTTTGGAGGACAATATTTAACATAATGATATGCTCTTTTGGCCTGTTTTTATGTAAAATTAAGGAATTATCCATTCTAAAACTTTCACAAAAGGTAAAGAGAATGATTTCTTCACATTGTGTTTTTATTCTCTCCGAGGTATGTTCTTTTACAGTTAGTCATGTCTGTTTTCCTTGCATCCAGACACAAAATGTTAGAAGTTTCAACTCCACCCCCATTTCCTGTTTCCATCTAATGGAAATGATTTTTAGCAATGAAATGCCTGAATCATCTGCAGCCAAACCCTGGTATGGCCTCCAGTTCCTGGAACCTGTGATGGCACTTCCGACATCTTGAAACTTGTAAGGTTAAGCTAGCTCATCCCATCTCCAACATTCATTCACCCAAGAACAAAAAGAACAAATAGAAAGAAAAAAAGAAAGAGGGGCCCCAAGCGGTTTTAAAGAGTACATGTTGGCCCAGGTTGAGTGACAAGAGCTTTGGACCTCTTTCCCCGTCCAGAGACTTGAAGCCTGTCTTCCCTTGAGTGCCACCAGGAAAGAGAGATCGAGATTTGGTCTATTTTGTGCCTTTTGTACATGCTCTTAGCTCCAGATCAATCAATTCCCATTCCCCGTACTGCTGAGCTGCCTCACAGGATCATGCATTTAGACCCCAGAGGTAGTTTGGTCCAACCCTTTCATCTGAGAAAATTGAAGCCCAGAGGAGAGAAATACTTTGGCCAAGGTCACAGAAGCATCAGCGTGGGATTTAAATCCAAAGCCTTTGGCTTGAAATCCAATGTTCTTTCCTCTATCTGCTGTTCTCCAGTCCAGCTGGGTTGTAAGCCTTCCAGCTGAATGGACACCCCCTGAGGACAGCTTGTTTATTTTGCCTTTGTTTTCCCCCGATGCCTAGCCTAGTGCCTGGCATGCAGTAGGTACTTAATACATGCAGTTTATACTGAACAGAATTGAAGCCTGATTTACACTTTCTGGTAACAAGAGGTGACCATGCTCACAGCTCCACTAAAGCCAGCTTTTGTCACCCTTTCATCACAGAAATGTTGGATGCAAAATGTCAGCAGGAAGAAGAGTTTGCGTATTCCCCTGACCTTTGACTTCCACACAGGCTTTGAAAAACCCTGTCCTAAAAGCATTCCTTCCAAACTCAAAGAATCTTCCCAAAAGGAACAGTCATCGGTAGATGGTCGAAAGGTGGACAAAAAGCTTACCAGGTAGGTAAGAATAAAAACGACCCCTGACCTGACCCTTGCTTTGGGTCACTGACTTACCTCCAGGGACTTAGCAAGGTATCACATATTTAAAGCTGGGTGCGACCTTATAGATCCTCAAATCCAACCCGGGTGAAAGGCAGCGCTTGGATCCTGTGGTCTCTCTGACACTGAAGCAGGTGCTTTCTCCACCTCTCCTGTCCCCATTTCACCGATGAGGAAACTGAGGCTCTGAGAAGTGCTCAGAAGGTGTCAAAAGTGGGACTTGAAGCTGCATCTTCCTGACTCCAAGCCCAGACCTTTCATCCACCGATAACGTTATCCTATACTTCCAAATATGTGTGATTATATATACAGGTGATACCAGTGTGGGTATCATTGAACAAGTACCATATTTATAAAGTTTTAATGTACCACCCGTTTTGCAAAAAGGACTTTTCCCCAACCCAAAAACGAGAAAGGAAAGAAAAAGAACACTTGCAAGCCCACTCTGCGACCTTGGGTTCCTCGCTTAGAAGACAAAAGGCATGACTAAATGCTCTGAGAGACCCCTTCTGCCCCCTAAGCCAGGATCCTAACAACGTGCCATTCTACGGGGTTGGAGAGAACTTCCACCTCAGAAATTCCTTAGGTAGATGAACTCACAGGTCCAGGCCAAAATAAAAGAGTGGTAGAAATATCGGTGTTAATTAAAATCAACTTAAATAAAATAGAGAAGAAATTTCACATGAAAATGTATTTTAAAATAATAACTAGAATAAATATGTTAATTTAAGGTTTACAAGGGCAGCTAGGTGGCCCCATGGTGCATAGAGTGCTGGGCCTTATCTTCCTGAGTTCAAATCCAGCCTCAGACACAAGCTGTGTGACTCTGGGCAGGTCACTTAACCTCCTTTGCCACTCCAGTATCTTTGCCAAGAAAATCCCAAGTGGAGTCACAAAGAATCAGAGAGGATTTAACAACAAAAAGGTTTACAAAGAGCTTTACATATATTATCTCATTTGATAATTATCTCCATTTTATGGATTTAAGAAAACTAAAGCTGAGATTAGTCAATTGACTTGCCCAAGGTCATACAGCTAGTAAATATTTGAGGCAGAATTCAAATTCTGGTCTTTCTGACTTCAAGTCCAGCATTCATTTAAAAAGCTGCTTCTTTAAAGAAAAAAAAAGGCAAAAGTTCCAATAGCAGTAGGATTGTGGGGAAGGGATTCCTCTCTTCCCTGGTTGCTTATGGTCTTTGAGATACCAATCTATAGCAGCATAAAAATGAAGGTGCAGATTTCCCACTGTAATATTTAAGGATGGGGGAAATAGAGTTCTGTCTCCTCCTCCATCGTCATCATCATCATTATCGCCATCCTCCTCCTCCTCCTCTTCCTCCTCATCCTTCTCCTCATCCTCCTCAGCCTCATTTGTTTTTTTACAAAGGGTTATTTACTTTGAAGATATGCAATAGCAAAAGTACAAACATTTCCTCCCAACATCTTGGGGCCACACCCTTCCCTTTCCACCACCTTGGTCTCTAGGGAGAATGGGCTCCCGCTTAGCTTGGTTCTGACAAGTCCAGATGCAGCATAACCTCCACAGGAGTCCTCATCTCAGGGGCCACTGGGCTGGGTCCTGAAGGTCACTCTAAAAGGTCACTCCTTACTCCTTATGAGCTTGGTGTAAACTCCAGACTCTGTGATGCCAGAGCGTTGGGTCACCAGAAGTTTGGACTCCTGAACTTTTGAAGCCCACAAGTTTGGAGTCTCCATTCTTTTCACCTAACTTGGAAAAGAGTGAAAGGGAAGCACAGAACTGGGTCCATTTCCCAGGTTCCCACCTACGTCTCCCTCTTTTCCCCCAGCATCAGCCTCCATGGGCACCATCAGGGAAGGGGTCAAAGTGGGAGAGAGCAGTTAAGAGACACCACCTTTGTGGTCAGTTTTCTACAAATCTTTCAGAGCTTGAATAACCATTTGTGAAAAGGAGTTATTTCCTGTTTGACAGAACAATACTCATTTCTAAGCGGGCAGGCATAACCCAGTGAGGACAAAGCCACAGAGCTGAGACAAGAGTCCAGAGGGTCCGGCCACCCTGGAGGTGGACAGCGTGAGGACAAAGGCTGTCAATGACCAGAGGTTTAGGCCGAGTCAGGCAGAGAAGAACAGAGTCCAGGTGTGCAGATGTGGGTCAGGGATCAAGGTAAAGACAAGGAATTAAGGAGGGACCAGTTTGTGCCAAGAGTCTAGAAATAGCCATGCATGATTCCAGCCACCTGCAACCTGCCTCAGCTGACCCCCTGGACCCCTTTTTGCCCTGGCCTGTGGGCCAAGGTGCCCATTCTCTGGATTAGCCCCACGTATTGTAGCTTAGGCACCCATCTACCCATTGCTAGCCATGCTCCCGGCTAAAGAGTCTGACCAAAGTCCAGAGAAACTACAAGGTTTTGTGTTCCTGCCAACTGCCCTTCCAGACCTGCCCCTAGTCCAGCCCAGCCCGGGACCTCATCTGGAGCCTATGCATACCAGCAGCCCTCGATAATCCTTCCTCCCACTAGAGACCAACAAGAAAGAAATCATTGGATTCCAGACCAGGAGTCCAAATGTCAAACTCTTTCCACCTTTTTTTTTTTTTTTTTGCTTTTTGGTGAGGCAATCAGGGTTAAGTGACTTGCCCAGTGTCACACAGCTAGTAGCGTCTGAAGCTGGATTTGAACTCAGGTCCTCCTGACTCCAAGGCCAGAGCTCTATCCACTGCACCACCTAGCTGCGCCCCCATCCTTCCACCTCTTGATGACTCAAGCAGCTGAGACAGCCCTAGAACCCTGGCATCAAGACATTTAGAACTCAGAAGCTGAGGATGCTGCCCTATGTCAGGGCCACCCCCATCATGACCTAGAGTACATCAATTCACAGGCTCAGCTGAAAAGGGAAGTGGAGATCATTTAGTCCAGCTTGTACCCATATAGGAATCCCCTCAATACCTTCCCCAATGGCGGATCATCCAATCTGATCGAAGGTCTCAGCCAGGCTGCCTGCGCCTGCTTTGAGGGATATCAACTGCCCTCTACCACACCTGAGAATGGACCTCTGCAGCTGGAGGTGCATGCCCTGGAGGCAGGATGACCTGAGTTCTGAGACACTTACTAGCTCTGTGACCCCGGGCAACTCCCTCCACCTCCATCTGCCTCAGTTTCCTCAGCTGTAAAATGGGAGGTCATAATAGCATCTACCTCATGGAGTTGTGGATCAACAGATAATATTTGTACAATGCTTAGCACAGTGCCTGGCACATAGTTAATTGATTGTTGTCCTTTGTGCTCAAAGAGGACCAAAATGACACCAGTGTGTTAAAGGCTGCGAGGAAGAGGGGCATGGAGCCAGGGTGGGAGCCTGGCCAGACTATAGCAGGATTACTGCACTCTCCTTTTGGAAGTATCGGCAATACCCTTCAGGTTTAGGGAGATAAACTGGAGACTGTGAACAGGGGGATGAGAAAATGGGCCATGGGAAAATCTGTTAGGGCAAGCAGGATGTGTAGCCTGCAGAACAGAAGACAGTGGAAGCCTGCTAGGGACCATCACCTACTGGATGGAGTAGATAGAGCTTGGGGTCCCTTCCAACCTTGAGTTTCCGGGATCCTTCGAAGCTATTGACTGAGTATATATTTTTTCTTCCTCAAAATTCCTACCCTGCCCATTGATAAATGCATCTTCAATCATCTCTAATTTACTAATTGTTTCTTTTTCTCAATTTACAGTGGTTCAAATGTATGGAAGCCCAAACTTCTGACTTCTGGACTTTTGCCCAGAAAGTGTCTCTTTGGGAAGGCAAATATGAGACCTTATTCTGTTCCAGGCAACCTGAAATATCAGCTTTTAGGTAATTCCTTCTGAAATATAAAGTTTACTTGGATTCTGGAAGTCATGTAATGATTAGCCTCATATATCTCTGAAAAGATCCTGAGAGGTTTGGGGGTCTTTCACCACTGAAGTACAATAAGATTAAGCCAGCTAACAAGACATTCAAATGTGATTCTCTAACATGCTTAACGTTTTTATCGAGGATATAGATATGGATTATTATTAACAACATTAGTTGATACTAAACGTTTGAAGAACACTTTCTATATCACCTCATTTGATCCTTACAATGGTTCCATAAGCTAAGTGCTAGAGATGTAATATCCCCATTTTATATTTGAGGAAACTGAGGCAGACAGAGGTTAAGTGCATTCCCCATGATCACAGAGCTAGAAGAGATTTGAACACATGGTCATCCTAATTCACATGTTCAGCTCTATTCACTGCACCAGCTCCTATGTATGGTAGAGATCACAATCTGATCACGTTTGCAGCTAACACAAAGCATGGAGAAATGATTGTCATACTTTGGATGACAGCCAGCATCCTTAGCCTTGGACTGAATGGGCTAAGCTGAAATTTAGCAGGGTAACATTGAACGTTTCCACTTGGGCTACCCAGCCCAATTTCACAAGAGCAAGATGAGCCCACAAGTGAGGGGAAGGAGGATTTTTTCCTTTTGTTCTATTTCCAGGGCTTAGCACAGCACATGGCTTGTTGACTGATTGACAGATGTGTCTGGAGAGCAGTTCCCCAGAAGAAGATCTGGGCTTTCTGATGGACCTAAAGCTTATTATGAGTCATGAGGTAATATGGAGGCCAAGAGAACTTGGCTGGTTGCATAGGACCAGTGTCCAGAATTAAGGCAGTGATGGTCTCCTCCGTTCTTTCTTAGAGACCTGATCTAGAATATGGTTTTAGGTGCCCTGGAGAATGTCTAGAAGAAAACAGGGTAGTGGTGGGCTTCAGGATTAGACCACATAGGAATCCATTGAAGGAGCTGGGGATGTTTAGCCTGGAGAAGAGAAGTCTTACGGGGATTTGAGAACCACCTATGAGTATTAAGAGCATTATTTGAGTAATATTAAAGTATTAGACCCTTTGAATATACTGTATCTGGAAAAGAGCTTAGACATTGTATGGTCAGTAAGCAAGAATGGTTTTTACATTTTTAAATAAAGCGTTACTGTATTTTTAAAAAGTAAAATCCATTCTTGCAGGCTCGTTTTGTCCCTCTGGTCTATACTTTACTGAGGTCTGAGACACTGCGCTCTACTGCAGTCCTGGCACGTAGCTGTTGTTAAGTCGTTTTAGTTGTGTCTGACTCTGTGATCCCATTTGGGGTTTTCTTGGCAAAGATTCTTAAGTGGTTTGCCAATCTCTTTTCCAGCTCATTTTATAGATTAGGAAACCGAGGCTAACAGAGTGGAGTGACTTGCCCAGGGTCACACAGCTAGTAAGTGTCTAAGGCTGAATTTGAACTCAGTTCTTCCTGGCTCCAAGTTTGGCATTCCATCCACTGCACCACCCAACTGCCTCTGGCACATAGTAGGTACATTTAATGAATGCTTTTTGTCTTGAATTAAGGTTTGGTTTGTGTGTGTGTGTGTGTGTGTGTGTGTGTGTGTGCGCGTCATGTACTCTTTTGGCAGAATTGACTAAGTCTATTGACTCCTCATAATCACATTTTTAAATGCATAAAATAGGTTTATAAAGGAAACCAATAATATTGAAATAATTATCAAAATATCTATTTTTTAAGTTTAGGGGCCCCAGGTTTGTACTCCTGATGTAAAGGATAGGGCATTGGATTTGGAGTCAAGGAAATCTGGGTTCAGATCCTTCGTTAGGTGCTAGTTACCGGGTAAGTGACTCCAACTCTCTGTACCTTATTGTCCTCATCTGTAAAAACAGATGGTTGGACTTAGGGACCTCTAATTTCCCTTCTGTCTCTAGATTTATTATTTTACGAACCTTTGAGGTCTCTCAGTTCTGCGTGTCTGTGCCTCTAGTAGTAGTGGGGAAGAAGAAATTCAAGACAAAATCTTGAGCTTGGATGTTCAGTTAAAGGTGTGAAGCCAAGTTAAGAATGATGAAAAAATGAACCAAGGTGCTAATGCTTTAGAGATTGTCACCTCAAGAGTGAAAACTAACAGAGAGATGTGGGAAAGTGATTTCTGACTCTGTGCCCAATGGTTGTGCTCTCCCTTCAGAAAACCATCATATAAGCATCTACATTCTTCACACTCAAAAGTTGGGGAGTGATTCTTGACTTTCCCAAAGAATTAGGCAGAAGATGTCTTTAAACCATGTTCACTTAATACATTTCAAACGTGATTCCACTTTTCCAAACATTTCATTTTTATACCTTTCAGGAACATACCTGCTGTGTAAAGAGAGGGTCGCTTGGCTTTATTTCACTCTCAGTATTTTGATGACTTTGGTTGAATAACGACTCTTTTAAATTTCACGTGTCATCAATATTTAGAATACACTTTTCATACCTTTTCTGAATGCCACTTTTCCTTTTATTTCAATTTCCTTTGATTCACTTTTAAGTATAATTGTGGTTCCATTGGTGGTGGGGGGAGATTTCTTTTTCTCAATACCTTCCGTCTTACAGCAGAAGGTAATGGAAAGTTATATTTATCTGGTGGAAATGGGCTTTGACATCAAGCTTTGATACCCCATTGGGTTGTTGTGAGAGTATGATAAGATGGAACCATTGTGACATAACACAGTCAGTACAGATGAGAAATATTGGTTTCCAGGTAGAATATTTTGACATTCGTTTTTCTTTTTAAAAAAATTTATTTACCATTGGTAAATTTTTTTTTTATTTTAAACTTAAATACAAAATGAGAAAAGGAAAAAAAAGCTGCCACATAAACAGCAGAACTTAAGAAAGGATTCAATATAAAACAATAAATTTCTATTTCAAGAAAACCCATATAATAAATACTAACATTGTTTTCAAAGCTGCCCACCTTTTCTTTACTTCCTTATTAGTTTTCCTTTGTTCTCTGATGTGTACTCTTTACTTTGTATTTTCCCCTTCCTCCCACCACCCTAAGAAGACTACAATTAAGCATGGATATAAATACATAATACACAGAGATCCATGAATATACACATATACACTCATGAATATATATGTAAGACTGTACTATGCTTACTTCCTCCTATCATCTGTTTCTCTGAAGGTGGATGGCATCTTCCTTCATAAATCCAAGTCTTTCCATATTTTCCTCAATCAGACAGCTCACCATTTCCTACACTACAGCAATATTCCAACCCAATCACATCCTATCTGACAAATTGTCTATGAAAGTTCACCCCACCCCCAATTTTCTGCATTTCTTCTATTCTTGGCTACATGGGTTTTATTTATACAAGAAAATTTTAATTTAAAATAATTGCAATTACCCTTTTTACACTCCAACAGTGTTCTCATATTATAATATAGTTTTAAGGTCTGATAGTGCTGAATCTACTTCCTTTACATCTTTTTTCCCCTGGTTTCTTTGAAGTTCCTGATCTTCTGTTCTTCCAAGTGAACTTTGTTATTGTTTTTTCTAAATCAATAAATTAACAACATTGAATAAATAGATTAGTTAGGTAAAAATGTCATTTTAAAAATTATATTGGCTTTACCTGCCCATGAACAATAAATATTACTTCAATTATTTAGATCTGAGTTTATTTGTATAATGTATAATATATATTATATTTATATATAATGCTTATGTTCATATAGTTCCTGTGCATGTTTTGGCAGGTATACACTCAGTTATTTTATACTGTCTGGCTATTTTAAATGGCCTAAAACAATATTGAATAATATTGCTGACACATAGTCTAATTTCTCTATTTTTCACTTTTGATTACATCTATTTTAACTTTGACTTTGTCTGAGATCATGATTAATATCTCTGCTTTTTTTATATACAAAATTCTATTCCTGCCCTTATTTTGTCTCTGTGTGTGACTTAATTTTTATGTTTCTTGAAAGCAACATATTGTTGAATTCAATTTTTTAATCTGCTACACGTTTCCATTTTATGGGTAAATTTCATCCCATTACCTAAGCTACAATTACTCGTGTATTTTCCTCCTTCCTATTTTTCCTCACTACCCTTCTCACCCTGTTAACCCTGTCTGTCCTCACTCCTCTGCTTTACTTCTACCTGCTACCTGTCTTCCTATTCCTTAACTTACCCACCACTCTCAGAGTCCCTCCTTTATCCTCTCTCCTCACCTTATTCCCTTGCTCTCTTATTTCTTTCTGAATTTAGAACACACACACACACACACACACACACACACACACACACACACACACACACACACACACACACACATTTTCCTCTTTAACCCATTCCCAGTAAGAGTAAGGTCCCAGCACTACCCACCTCTTCCCTCCTACTAGCTTCTTCTGTATCAATTTTTCCTTTCATGCTTCATTTGTATGAAATAATTACTCCTTTTTATCTCTCCCTACACAATTTTATTTTTTTAGAATCACTCCATCATACTCACCTTAACCCATGCTTTTCTTTCAAACCACCCCAAAATGATGACAATCATAGGAATACTACTAATATTTTCACGTATGCGAAGTAAATAATCTGACCTTATTGAGTCCTTTATAATTGGTCTTTAATGTTTACCTTATATTCCTCCTGGATCTTACATGTTGAATTTTCCCTGAAGTTCTGGGGGTTTTGTTAAAAACCAAACAAACAAAAGCAAACAAACAAACAGACCTCTAAGTCTTTAAATTTCTTAACTGTCCATTTTTTTTCCCATTCATGATTATGTTTAACTTTGCTGGACTCTCCTCTCCACCCCTAAGTCACAGCTAGGGCCCCAGCCACACTGTCACACAAATGATCTTGCTCCCTGCCATCCTTCCAGTGTCTGCAAACTACACCTGTCCTCTCTGCCCCAGAACTGAAATCAGAAACTCTGTTCTCCTCACAGCCAACAGTGTCCCTGCCCCTCGCTCCTGCACTCACC